CCACCTGCCTTTTAAAAAAATCGTAATATTTGAGATTCAATTAAAGTGGTGATACACTTGCCAAGTGTCAAGTATTATAACAATGGTTTGATACACTTCACCAATCTTGAGATTTAATTTAGAAATATACAATTATGTACGTTATACGTTGTTAACGGCATGTACCACATATATCACGTTTTCAAAATCTTATTTTGTCTTGTTCCAGTTGACGACATTACAGAACGACGAAACCTTCAAACTGAGAATCAAGAATCATTGAGCGTAAAATATATTTCGAGCTAAACTTATAACGTACTAACTAAAGATGAATCATGGTTTCACAAAATTGCATCCTTAGTAAAAAATTTGGAATCATACCTTTTTTTCTCTCCATTCTGCATTTTATCAATTATGTTTTAATATCTAGTAGAGCTGACATCTGATATCACTCATAAATTTTGAACCAAACCAATAACCATTTGTTTCTTATTTCGGTAAGTTTTAAGTACGTGAGTTTTGTATATTTTTGAAGTTTTAGGTTTTAATTTTTCAATATGTATTTTGTGAATAAACTAAAAAGTAAAGAATATCTTTTTAAAATAGTAATAATCATTCACTGGATGCTACGGAAAACGGAGCCATGGAAAGAAAAGAGAACTTCCGGCCAAACATATCGACAAATTGTCAAAAGTGTCTGCTCATCGAAACTAGCTAGCCTGTTATAATAATATGAATAACTTAACTGGTATGCGAGACATTAATGTTCGCTTATCGATAGTTATCACTTACTACCAGATTTTATTTTTCAAAACTAGTTTGGATATTATTATTGGATATTCGAACAACTATATAACATGTACATTGGTAGTTTGGTACCCATACATTTCTTTAGAAAAATTAAACGATAGTTTAAAACATGTTTTTGTCATACGTAGTACGTACTTGTAAAACTTTATATAAATTGGTTCTACTTGTCATGAAGGTTATTAGCACTTGATTGTCATATATATTAAAGACAAAGGAGCCGAAAAAAGAAAAAAAAAAAGGAAGCTTCGTATGTGTAGCTGATGAGGACAGCAATTACTGTATATTGGAAGACTCTGGGTAAACATTTTGGAAAAGTTATAAAAGATGATGATGAGTTTTGGAAAGCTAAATATGGTTTTTACAAAAGGTCGTCAGACCTTGAGGCAGGCAATATATAGGAAGCTTCTTTTTTATTTCACTCCCTGACAAAGACATTTTCATAGAGTCTCCTTAGATGCAAATGGAAATTCCATATTCCGAATCAATTATCTATTTAGCATGTCAGATCACTTTTTATTTAAATATTTAATCAATTAATAAATCAGCTTGATTCTAGAAGCACGACCAATGAAATCTGAACTTTTTCTTTGTATATTTTGTTCGATTTTCGTTAAGTTAATACTATCATATATAAAATGATATTAACTAGGGTCTATGGCTGAATAGATATGTGATTGTTGTGATTTACAGTGATAAAACTGTTCTTTAATGTTTCTAATTAAGGTAAAATTACTCATGCTTTTACTTTTTTTTTTTTTTTTTTTTTTTTTTTTTTTTTTTTTTTTTAATTCTACTCTTTCTGAATTTTTTACCCAATTTTTTTTCTCAAAATTGCAAGAAATCATTATTAAGTTGTAATTTTATTTTGAAATATTGGTTAGAATCGTTGATTTTGAAACTTTGATTAACAATTTTGTAGAGTTCTAAAAAAAAAATGTTTTACAACGTTTGTTCAAAAAATAAAATATATATGTTTTACAACTATTACAGTAGACCTCTATAAATTAAAACTCTACTAAATTAATAAACACTATAAAATAATAATTTCTTCCGGTCCCAAGTCGGGCCAATGTATAAATAAGCGAATTTTGATAAGATAATAAAATGATAATTTTTTTGGAATTCTTATGTAAATATATGGTCCTTTTAATATCATAAGTAATAATCATATAAATTTACATATTTTATATATATATATATATATATATATATATAAATAATATATTTCTAGTGTTTGTTTTAAATGAATTTATGTTAGATCTCATCACTAACTTTTCTTATATAAAAAATGTTATGCTGTGTTTTAAAACTATCATATTGTTGTATCGTCTATAATTTTTTCAATAAAATAGCTAAATTTTTTCGTAAGCTTTTTATTTATTTTGAATATGCATAATTTTATTTCAATTGTCGAATATATGTTCAAAGACAACAATTGAGATTACTATTCATAAATTTGAACTTATGTATATAATTTGTATATGTGAATTCATCTATAATCTTTGTTATCTATAGTCAAAGACATTTTTTCTTCTTCTTAATACTAAATGTTTAAATCTAAAACTATAAATTTATAACATCCAAAGCATTATTTTTATTAAGATCAAATTTGTTTAACTCATATTTTTTTAAGTTAAAACAAACTTTCTATAAATGAATAAATATTAATTTACATTATAATTTAATAAATATTAATTTATAGATAAATTAATATCACTATAAATTAATAAAATATCATGGTCCTAATATTATTAATTTATAGAGGTTTTACTGTATATTGTTTGCTAGTTTGTTTTTTACTTTTTTTTAAATGACGATAAATGTTTAGTTTTATTGGTGTTTTGATTTTATTGAATTAGGGTATTTTACTTTTAATCGTTTATGATATTCGTTATTGTTAGCACGACTAACGTTTGTTTCAAAAGAGAGTTTCATGTGCAACATGAATCTGCAAATTTCTGTAGTGATTTGAGACTACAAATACAAAACTGTGGAAGCCCAAGATAGGTATGCTAGAAAACCAGAGGCTGTCAGCAAACCACAAATGCATATTGTGTAACCAAGTATGGAAACCAATGAGTTCGAACTAGGATAAATGCATACTGTGTAAATTAATAAAATTTATAGATGTATATAAATTAATAGCTCTATAAATGAATAAAATTTCTCAATCCCAACATTATTAATTCCTAAACAACACATATTTCCTTTTACAAAAAAACTGACATAACAGTTAAATATGTTATTTAATGTCATTTGCTACTGTAAAGTAGAATTATCCGACCCCTAAATTATCATCTATGAAAGAATATTAACTAGGGCTACAAGCTTGTACTTGTGCGTGTTTTGTCCAGATAAAACTAAAAGTAATTCGGAGGGTTTATAAGAAGCACATGTGAAAACTAGAGGAACCTAACATCAAAACATAAACCCCAAGAAGTAGTCTAATAAAACACTATATAATAGAGAAAGTCTCATGAATTGTGTGAGTATGAATTAATATAATAAATTATACAATGCTTTATAACTATATATACCAAACTAATTAAATTAATTTTTCTTACATAGATTTTTGTTTTACTATTTATGTAATGTAATCGTTTTACTACATCATCATATATTTCTTCTTAAGACTCGATGGAAATTTTTTATGCATAGTCTTTTTCCTACCATTTCTCGTCTTCTTCACTGGTCTATTCTTCTACTTCTATAGTTCAGACATGCCACCGCACTTGATGTGACTTTGTCCCAGACAACTCCAGAGTTTGACCTCGACGAAGAGCTTGACACATTCTTGTCTTCTAGACGATCAGATATTGTGAGTTTGGGGTATGATAAGCTGAGGAGATTAGCTGTAGAGGTTTAGAGTGTTCTTGGACATGTCTCTAGTCTGGTGGAGAGACTCTTCTTACTCTTTAGCTGGCGAGACCGACGTACTACCGCACTGTCTCTGTTCTTCTGTCTCATCACCGGTGCGGTTCTCGTTCTACTTTGGAGGTTTATGTCTCGATATTTGCCATTATTTATAGGTGTTTCAAGTTCTTGCCACGTTGTATCTGATGAGGCCACCACAATTCAGGCAGCTAGGGCTGTTCTAATTATTTCTTTTGGAGACTTCTATCGAGACATGATGATCTCTTCTGATTGTTTTATCTTTATTACTCTGTTTTTGGTTTGCTTTTGTAATAAAATATTCTGCTTTCTTATTTTAGATTGGGATTTTGCACCACATATATTTCCATATAACTATTTCCTAAACAAACACATATTTTGTTTTTAAAAATAATTGACATAACAGTAAAATATGCTATTAATCAATGTCATTTGCTAAAATAAAGTAGAAATTAATCTGATATATACGAAGGGCTAAAAGCTTGTGCGTATATATTGTCCAGCTAAAACTAAATTCATAGTAATTCGGAGGGTTTATAAGAAGCACATGTTAATTGGCATTATGATCGAGTGGAGTATGTAAAGATTACTTGATATGTTTCTAATAAAAGTGTTTTTAGGTTTAGCGTTTATAGTTATTGTCATAATTTTTGATCAAACTACCATAACTCCACGCAACAATCAAATCCGATCTCAGGTTTTGAATCAAAGAACCGATGGTTGAGTGAAAAAGAGCGACACAGTAGATTTACGAGTTATCCCTACGGCTAGGCCAAAAGATCAAGAAATCCAGTTGTAGTTTGGTTATAACATACACACACGAAGCTCTCACAAAAAGAATTGAGCTCGTGAATAATGGTGAAGTGGTATTGAAGAAGAGCGGAAACAGAGCATTTATCTTCCTAGAGTGTTTCCCTTTATATAACCATCTTTAGATTGTTTTTCTTCTTCTCTACGCTTTACGGCTTACCTGAGCTTAACCACTCGATACTTCTCGGCTATATTGTATTAGATTTAACCGGACCAAGTTGTTTTCTTTTGAATCAAATCCTATTAACAAAACACTTAGTCGGTACCGGAACCAGGAAAATTAAGTATATTTTGAAACATTGGACTTGAATAATAATCCCTGAATAATGGATGAACACATGACGTGTGCCAAACGTTAGGAGTAGGGAGAGATACACACTAGCTAGGCTAGCTATAAAAACTCAAAAAATCAAAAAGGGAAGTTGGAAAAAACAGAGTCACGATTGTTTTCTTGCATAACAAGTAACCACGTCAACGCAACTAATGAAACCTAAATACACACTTAGCAATCAGAAGAGCCAGTTAATGTCTCCAGGTTTTGGATTGAATCCTTCACACATCTTATAATATCCTTTTCTATGAAAGAAAGGAACCTCAAGAAAGGATGAAAGTTTTTCAGCAACAAAAGGATGGTCCAAGAGCTTATCCACGGTGGGCCTATCTGTAGGTCGCCACGTACGGCACTGCCTCCAGAAGTCTTGTGCAGCTGGAGAGAGATACCCTTCTATTCTCCACGCGATACAGTTTCCCATCTCATGAGGGACACCCCCAAACATCTTAAGAACCGTACGCCCTAGCGACCATATATCACGGGCCGGTCCGACCAATAAGTCCGGCCCAGAAAACCTATACCGTTCAGCGGTGGCCTCAGGCGGCATGTACTCGAGGGTTCCAGGAAACGATAGGCTAGAGTCCATAGTAGGCTCTTTGCCTTTGGATAAGCCTAAACCAGTAAGCTTGAGATCCCATGGCTCTCCAGGAGTGTTGGAAGGGAAGACAAACACATTGGAGGGTTTGAGGTCGCAATGAACGTAACCTTCCGAGTGAAGAGCCTTGAGTCCTTGTAGGATCATACGAGTGGCACGTCTGACACTATATTCAGGCAATCTCCCTCCGGCATCAGAGATCATCTTGTCGAGATTGCCTAAGGACGCATACTCCATGTAGATGTAACACAAAGTCGCGCTTTTGGTGTTACACTCGAAGTGAAGATGAGGGCACGAAGCTTGGACGATGAAGGGATTGGTGTGGAAGTGAAGCATGGCCTTAAGCTCCCTCTCGAGATTGTCGGAATGTTTGAGCGTACTTGTCTTCTTCATGTAAGATTTCTCCAAGTTTGAATCATTCTTGTTGTTGGACACAGAGCCGTAGATACCTTTGTCAAGAACAGAGACTATCTTCAATGAAGACTCAGTCAGATCTCCAATAACCTTCCCCTCCATAATAATAATAATCTCTTTCTTTAGGTTTTCGTTTCTTTTGGTTTAACTAATTATAAATAGGGAAACTGCTGCTTCATGGACGAATATATTAACAAATCTAATTATGAATATTTAGTTATTAAGTAAAAGTAAAATTAACATTCTAGCTACAAACGGAGAGATTTTGTTTTCCCATTCTCTTAACATTTATCAAAAGAAATAGAAGATAAAAAACAGTTACTAATATTTGAATAAACGACCAAACGATACTTGAAGAACAGAGACCGGCAAGAAGTGTGTGATTCGCACTTTTATAAAGAAGGTCTGGCTATTGGCTAAGATGTAAATTGATTCGCGTAAGAATAATATCAACGGTCAAGATTTAAAATCTAGGGATAGTACCAACTTTGACTGGGTTAGACAATCCAGCTGGCATTTACTATTAACCCTGTCAAAGAGTCTCACCCGTGTCAAATTGTCATTCGTTGATTAAACAGAAGAAATCTAATCATAAATCGGAGAAACGGCAGTAAATAGAGAATCAGCCAAACCAAGCAATGATATGAACGGGCAAGATTAAAACCTGACTGGCGTTGTTGCTAATTGCCTAACAATGATTCTTGGCTTCGGTTCAACATTAAAAAACTGAAAATTTGTTCAAATTTTACCTTGTTGATTGTGAAATTGGATTTCTAGGTTTCGATCGAATAAACTATTTTACTTTATCTCGCAGGCACACCCTTATTTCACGAATCATCAAATGGCATTATCAAAACATCAAAACATAAGAAGAAATGGCACCAAATCATTAAATCGTCGGAACTCGGAAGATACAAAGACATTTACCCATCGTACGTACATTTGTGGTTAATGATGTAGTTAAGCACCTTGTCTGAATTCCATGATTCATACTATCATTAGTAAAATACAAAAAAAAAAGATTGTAAGAAGAACCATTATTCATTAACTAGATTATAATATCTATATTCCAACACAACCATCGATGATGATGATTCATGAACAAGAAGAGATGCCGTTAAAACATTCAATCATTAGAAGATCTAAAGAAATTAATCATAACACCTTCCATGAATTCCATCATTCATATTATCATTAGTACATATGCAAACATGCACGATTTAATTTATGATAACTTATTATCAATATGCATTATTCATTATTCATAACAATATCAAATTAAAAATACAACCACATGTAGATGATAAATCATGTAGAAACATAACCAAGTATCTCGAATTCCATGAGATTAAGTGACAATTGAAGAAATCCGGTTTCCTCAGGACCAGAGAGCTCAACTTCACGGTAAAAATCAACACCTTTAACCGTTGGCAACAATGTGACTCCCCTCCCAACGAAATAGGTGCCAATTGAATTCGTTTTGAAAACATCTACATATAAAGATTGGGCTGGAAAATTCTTATCTTGAAAAATTTGTAGCTCTTCATCGAACTCGGGATCTCCTTCGGTTGGTACAACCTTTGTTTCATATTTTTCGTTTTCATTTGTCCATGCTTCAACCTTGTATTGATATGGGCGACCATTGGTGACTCCGATTGTACCAATGATTGTCACAAGTAGCTTCACATCTTCATCTGTGATTATTATTTTTTTCCCTCGCATTTTTCTTCTTTTCAAATAAGAAATTTGAGTAGAATAATATTTGTGATTGATGTATCAACTTATATACACCTCAGTATTTTATTTTGTGTTTTTTTTTTCTCTCACTAATTCACGAAATTCGACATTTTTCCATATATATGTATGTTAAAATGCACGTGTTTGCACGTGTTTCATGTCGTAATTCTTTATTTATAAACGAGAAAAACGGATGCTAAATAATGAGTAATAAATGTTGTTTGAATAGAAATGTAGAATTTTTCTGAATACCATTTCAAATAATAGAAACCATTGAATAAAGAAACCAAATTATTTTTTTCAAAAATATTATATTTAGAGATTTATTTCTATATGATATCTATTTTGGTCATAGTTCTTAATATGATATTTGACTACTATTAAAAAACCTAACCCAACATACCCAAAACTATTTAAAAATGCATTAAATGCCGTTGAACAAAATTTAAAATCTTATGGTTTGAAAGTTGAAACTAGTAAGATAGCTATAAAAATGGAAATAACTTAGGAAAATGGATGTGGTCGAATAAAAAACAGCTGTGAAAATGCATGCAATTTTTATTTAGGAAATTATATTTTAAGAAAAGAAAAGAAAATGCCTAAAATACTCTTCGACTGATACGACTTTTTCTTACTGGAGCTTATGCATAGTCCGAACATACATTTTGATGCTAATTGATTTCCTATTGGAAAACATGTTGCTAATTCAAATATATTTTTCGACTGATATGTGAATTCATACAGTGAATATACAATTGTACGTGGAAGCAATCGCTATGGTATATATCTTTTGAAAGATGGTAAGATTCCGATATCGTTGCATGTATAGTAGTTAAAAGTAAGAATGATTGTGTAGTGGAAGTGGTTAGCAGTTAACTAGAACATATTGTAAGCAATCAACTAGAACATAAATATATAACCCTTTAACAAAAAATATTTATCTAGAACATATTCCATGGTTAACATTAAGATATTTTTCATATCTTTTCTAATTCTCTTTAGTCTTAAGTTCAAAATGTGAGAACCATTAATTACGAAAACAAAAAAAAGATGAATCAGTCTTTTACGAAAAACACCCACGTTTTGGTTTAGTCCGGTTTGGTTGAATTCGCACAGACTTATTTTCAATTGGGTCCCCAATGCTACGGTTTTGCCACTGGAGATTTCCGCCGTCCCTCGCCGTCGCTAGAATGCTCTCATCGCCACCACCGCTTCACTCACACTCTCCATTCTCCGGTGGCGTCGGTAATTCGAGCTCAATCGGTGGAAACTCCAAACCCGAGTTACTATTCCCTCAATCCCAACCCCAGAATCTCTCTTCCTCCCCTTCTTCCTCTCTGAAATCCACGGTTGCTTGTTCGAACGCCGGAGCTATACGGAGAAGCATGACTACTGTTTCTCAGTCATTCTCAGATAGAACAGAGTCTAGCGATTCGGATTTAGGCTCGCTCGTTGTGGTTTCATTCTACAAATTCGCTGACTTTCCTGACCATGCTGATTTCAGGAAGCCCTTGAAGGATCTCTGCGAAGAATTGGTATGCCGTTTCTTCTATCTCAATCAGAATTGTAGATGTTTTAGTGTCTGTCTGATACGAAAGGTTAAGTCTTTACTTAAGAGTGTTTGTATTGAGCATGAAAATTTGGTTTAGATTATGAGGCAGTAATATTAATTGGATTGTTTTGTTTCATCAGCGTGTTTCAGGTGGAATCATTCTTGCACCAGAAGGGATCAATGGAAGTATCTGTGGGATTCGTGAATCAGTGGAGAGAGTGTTGGCATTTATACAGAGTGATATCCGATTGAATGGTTTGAGGCAAGTGGAGACACCTGTGAGTCCTGAACAAGAAGCAATCCACCATGGACATAGCAGTAGCTCTCCTCTTGCAGCTGGTGAAGATGCTCCCTTTAGATGGGATCACGTTAGGGTCAAACTCAAGAAAGAGGTACACTTTAGTCTTTGAAGTTGAGACTGGAGGAGTTTTGTGGATTGTCAAGAGCTGTTTTCTTTTTGTTATGTCTGTGCAGATTGTTACGCTTGGAATGCCTAGTGTCTCGCCAATTGAAAGAGTTGGAACATATGTGAGCCCCGAAGAATGGAACGAACTGATCAGTGATCCAGAAACTGTGAGTCCTCTTTTTACTATCTTGTAGCAAGTTTAGTCAAGAATTCAAGAATAAAGACTTGATAGCTCTCTCTTGTTTAAATGTTCTGGTCGGTAGATCTGAAATTGTCAAAGTGCTTTTGTATTTCAGGTAGTGATCGATGTGCGTAATACCTATGAGACTAGAATTGGGAAGTTTAAAGGAGCTGTGGATCCATGTACCACAGCTTTCAGAAATTTCCCAACTTGGGTGGAGAATCAATTTGCATTGAAGCAAGAAGGCAATGAAACGCAAGCAAATGTGGAGCAAGAAGAATGTTCTGAAACCACTGAAAAACCGAAGACGCTGCCACGAATTGCTATGTATTGCACTGGAGGAATCAGGTGTGAGAAAGCTTCAAGCTTTCTTCTTAGCCAAGGTTTCGAAGAGGTAAACTAATACAACATCTAACCATTGAACTGTTGGTTTCAAAGGTACTTAAAGATCAAAGCATTTTTGTTATCAGGTGTATCATCTGAAAGGTGGGATATTAAAGTACCTTGAAGAAGTCCCTAAAACAGAGAGCTTGTGGGAAGGCGAATGCTTTGTGTTCGACAAGCGTGTATCTGTGGAACATGGTCTAGCTCAAGGAACACATAAACTCTGCTATGGATGCAAACAACCTATAAGTGATGAAGACATGGAAGCCCCAGAGTATGAGTATGGAGTTTCTTGTCCTTACTGTTACTCCAAAAAATCCGAAGAGGAGAAAGAAAGGGCAAGAGCGAGGCAGACACAGTTTGAGGAATGGGGTGTAATTGGTGGTCCGGACAAAGGTCGTCGACCCGTCACTAAACCAGATAGTCCAAGGAAGAAGAGCAATGCAAAGCTTGGTTCTTCAATATAGAATGATGATGTTTTGATAGTTGTTTTATTCTTCTTCTTGAAATCAAATGCTGCATTGTTACATTAAAGAGTTTAAACGCTAATCATCAAGGCAATGATCGGAAAAAATAGTAGAAACAGCACGTTGTTCAAGTGTTAATAAGTGTAACGGCATGAAGTGTAAAAGTGACGTTTGACTAGGTCTAGAATTCCTTTTTAATGTCAAAAATTCCCCAAAATTGATTATCGTCATTTCGTTAAGGATCTTTGTGGGGTTTGATCGAATTTGATAGCGAAGGAGAGAGAGAGAGATCGAAGCAGTGATGGCAGGAACATCTGGATTGCTCAACGCCGTGAAGCCAAAGATCCAAACGATTGATATTCAGGCCGCCGCTGGATGGGGAATCGCCGCCGCAGCTGGTGCCATCTGGGTCGTCCAAGTAAGCCATCTCGATCTCTTGTTTTCCGGCCGTAGATTGGTTTTTGTGGATTATGTTCATGATCTGAGATCTCTATCACTAGCTAATGTTATGTTCTCTGGTGAAATTGTTGGCTTTATTTGGTTGAAAGATGAAAAATTCATAATTGATCTCATTAGATTATCTCTAAAGGTGGTTCCTTTTATGAGCATCGTTGCATATATATACATATAATTGCATTTCATGAAAGGCTTGATTCGATTTGGTGTTAGTCTATTCTTGAATTGGTGATCAAAGCTTCTTCATTTCGTTTTCCATGTACACTTGATTTCAGTTTCATTCTGATTTAGTCTTTTACTTAAAATGCTTTGCTTCTAGTATCTCTACATATAATCTTTAGCTTCGATTGATCTGATCCTGCTTCACACCATCACATCTTAAGGATTATAGAATTGCACTTACTTCAAACTGATACATGAGTTTGTTTCTTCATGAATTACTTTCATACATCCATTCTCTGACAGACACTATTTGCTCTATCTTTGGTTTGGTGTTATGAAGAGATTAGGCTCCTTAAGCTGCTAGTGACCCTATTTTACTAAGCTTCTTTTCAAACTCATAATGTATTTTGTATCTGATACATTCTTTATCATCACAGCCATTTGGTTGGATAAAGAAGACATTCATTGACCCACCTCCAACTGAAGAGAAGTGAGAAATCACCAAGATTCAAGACAAAGTGAAGAGTTTTCCAGTTTCTAAGTTTGTTATCGCCTCTTTGGCGTGGAGCTGAATAAATTTTGGTTCTTTTCTGGGGTTTTGTGTTTTCATTTCTTCAATGTAGTAGACTGATTTGTCTTCTCAAATGTTATAACACAAGAAAAGCACATTCTCCAAGTTATTTGAAAAGATAACCCATTTTACATTTATCAGGTGTTCTTATTTCCATATGAAAGTATATGAGATCATGGACCATAAGAGTGTTGTGATGATCGAGATTGCTGAGCTTAAGAGTAGATTATTTGGATATAGAAGACCTAACAAAGTAATGTCTGTTGCAATACAATGAATAAATAAAATATCTTATTCTTTGCCTAACCTACAAAATGAATGTAGACGACACAAAAGAGAGTCTTTTTTTTTTGGACTGCTTCTCTCTTCACCATCTTATGTACATACAACAAGACGCTCCAACAAACATTTGGCTGGAACCAATCTCTCTGCAACCTTTTTCATAGTTATGATGCGTTTGTAGCTGATGAGGATGCAGTGCTTTCCTTTATTCTCCTCTCGGCTGCTAATGCTGCAGCGACTGAGGGTGGTAGATCTCTCAGATTCTCCTGTCTCTCTCCCGGGTTTTCTTCCATCTCTGCTGTTTCTGCTGCTGGTGAAGCAAATAGAGATTCGAGATCTCTTAGTGTCAAGAACTGTTGATCTTGATTCTTTGTATTCCTGCTGCTAAATGAACTTAAGTTTGTATTCTTATTCCTGTTCAGTTTGTAGATGCTCTCTTCCACCGTCCCCGTTACCTGGTTCCCCAGAAAAAGAGAGGTCAAGATCAAAGTAAATCACATAAGGCAAGATCTTGAAGCTGTATAAGACCAAGGTGGCAAACAAAGCAGATACACGAACCAGAAACCGATGAACTAGAGTAGGTTTCTCTTGTCCAATCCGGTGAACACGCCCAACAGCTTGCGCTTCCGCAGCTGGATTTAGAAGCGGCTCCACCAGAATAACATGCTGTGCTTCTAGAAGATTAAGACCGTTGGCACCATGCTGCACCAAAAGCAATAACACTTGAATCGGATTTTCCTCTTTTTGATTTGTCTTTTGGGTTTCTTTCTCAGATCCCTTGAATTTGCTAATGGCTGTCTGTGATTTCCTGCATTTCCATGGAATTCTGTTACATATATCCCTTAGGTTACATATGTGACACTTTTAATAGATTGCCCATTAAAGTTCTCGCTACATTACCTGCCTCCTTTCATCCGGATGCAGGTGATGCTATTGGCAGCGAAGGCATGTTGCAATACATCAAGAACGTCGTTCCAACTGGAGAAGACAAGAACCTTTGCTTGTGGGTCACTTGACTTGATCCATAAGATTCTTCTAGTAACAGCTTCGATCTACCCCCAGAACAATAGATGAGAAAAAGAAGTACTTCTTGTGCACTAATCTTTGAAGCAAGGAGACTAACCTTTGTTCCATATGAACCTTGAACCACCAATGATGCTTCATTGTCTTTGTGATCTTGATCTGACGAAGAACTGTTTCGTCTGTCATCAGCATATGCAATATTTCTAACATCTGTGTGCTGCCTGCATATTGGACACATCACCCACTTTTGCAGCGTTTCTTGAACTGATTTGCGCTCAGTCATAGCAAAAAAGCCTGTGTGAACAAACACAAAGTAGCATATATGGTTAACATTCTGAAGCTTGGTTCAAGAAGATTATAGTAGATTAATGAAACAGAAAGAAAAATGCTTATGATTCGAAGCTGAAAAACAAACAATCAAAAGGTCAAAGTAATTACAGTTGCAGCAAGTGGAATGCCCGCACTGGAAAACCATCTTCTGATTCCGTAGAATTTCTTGACAAATCGGGCATGCTTCATCTCGCTTAAGCAGGTTTTCTCCTTCCTGTTCAACAGGATCTGAAGCCTCAAGTGTTTCGTGAATTGGTGAGGAAAGATCTGGACTCTCGGATTCTTGTTTCTGTTTGGATTTGATCAAACCCTGAAACGGAATTTTTTTTTAATAAATATTGGATACAAAATCAAAGAAAGAGAGGAAAAGCAAGCAAATATTTTCAAGTGATCCAAAGTCTCAAACCCACAAAAAGGAACCTAACCACAAAAACATAACTAAAGCTTCTTGTGAATATGAATTTGAAATGGTTCTGGAGCTGGAATTGCAAAACAAATGTGATCAAGTGTAACTATCTACGTAAACTTCTAAATAGTAACACAGATGTAAATGATAAAAATAGGAGGTCAGGCTAATAACAACACTAAGGTTTCAGATTTACCTTCAAATAACGAAGTTTCCCTTTGATACTAAGCACCGAGGATTGAGCCATAAATTTATCATTTGTGTTCAGCACACTAGCAACATCTAACTCATCCCGGCTCAAAGCATAGATAGATGTGTCATCTTCAGATTCCTTAAGCTGTAGTCTCATTGTTGACATGTTAATCTCATCATAGGCACGTAGGAGTTGAGCTTGAGCCCTAGCCAAGGCCCTTGCATGTGCATATTCCTTTCGCATCACCTTAGTTAGATAAGCAAAATTGGAAATGTCAGATCTTGTTAAAATGAAGGATTAGTTTTCCCTTTCTCAATGTAAGCAACGGGATCTCTCGGGTAATACCTCAAGGGTATGCAAATGTTTTGTGGCTGCCAATTTGCTTTCCCTATCTAAATGAGTTTTGCAATGGTTTCTTATCACTCCAAGAACTATTTCCGTCTCAGATGGAGATTTTGAAACCTATGATAAGACAATAAAAGGGATACTTATCAGACTCAGACGATTATAACAAAATCATATTATTTGACATTTCAAAAGGTTTTAAACAAAAGAGGAGGAATTAGAAAACGTCATATCAACAAAGTTAATAAACATAAATGTGGTTATGCTTTATTGTCGGTAATGAATTCAAAGACTTATTGGAGTAATATCAAATCCAAACTAGATCAAGTAACTTACAACCACGGTGTCACCAGCATTTCTTTTGGTTGGCTCCTCATCATCACCACGTGGTGCATTTAGATCCTTGCTTCTTGATGACAAACCAATAAAGAAAAGATTAAGAGCATCTCTCTTCTTCTGCAAATGTACCGTCTCTTCAGCAGCTGCAATTTCCATTACTCCCCTGCGAGATTTGTTAAGACGGAAAAGCCTAGCCTCATATTCCTGGAATGATTTTTTAATACATGATGATGGTACAGCTAATATTAATATCGATTAAAGTTCATATAAGTGCAGAAGCAAAAAAGAGCAAACCTGGAATAATTCATCTAGCTCGCAATGAATACACGTGGGGCCATCATCCTTCTTCTTGCAATACTTGCAGTTGCTAATACGCTCAATATCCTCCAATTTTGGTTTCTCCATAGTCTGGTCAATTTCTAGAATCCTATCTATCACTTTCTTTCTAGAGCTCTCCAGCATATCCATACAAGTTTGCAGATGAAGTTTCATGCCATGTATAGTTCTAAAGCTGGAATAAGGAATTTTCAAGTTAGTTCTTAATGTACTCAAGTTATGTGCTCCTAGAAAACTGTCTGCTTACAAATCAGGAAACCTCCGAGATTAAATTGAATATAACGATCTATTGCTAAGACATTCACTACATATGATACTGAAATTATAGGGTAATCAATCTAGTCTTATAATGAAGCTAACCAGTCTCTCAGGTCAATTATTCTAATAACTTTGCAGACATATGTGAATTAATTCGTCACATGTAGAAAATATGCCCCATAATAACAATCAACAGACGAATTTGTGACTAAAAGCTGAAAAAGTACTCTCGCAAGAACAAAGCTCATGAAACTGCATATATTTAAGCACTAACCGAGAACTCGCTCTGGAGGAGCTTGAATTGTTTAAGCTTCCATGGAGGATCTCTTCAATCTTCCTGGTCAACTCGCTAGAGAAGTCTTTATTCTGTTCAGTAAGTTGCAGGGCATCCAACCACCAAACTGAACGTTGTTTCCCCATATTGCTCAACGACTCGGAAACCTTGAAAGTTTTTCGACCATTTAGCATTGTGTCACAGAGAGAGAGATCCAGGAAAATAAGTGGTGGCTCAATATTTAACGTGCCTGATCTTGAAACTTAATTTAAACGAATTATACTTACACTTAGGCTAAGGTTACAAGTAGCTTTTTGAGATTAAAAAAAAAAAAGATATAAATATTTTTGTGGAAAATACCTGATTGTATGATTTTTTGAATTCCTGCTGTGCTGCAGATAGCTTTGAGTTGAATGCGGATAAATACTTAACTTTCATTGTGTCACAAACTATATTCAGAGTTTTGCATTCTTCATGATACTCTCCATCCTTCTTTAAACCACTGTCTGGAGAATCATGAGTTAAACTCTCGAGCTCATTGATCCTTTGCCTTTTTGATGCACGGTGATGATCGTCATCCTGTACATCTATTTTAATTTCAGGCCTTCCTGATGCAGAAAGTTTTACGCCGTAGCTTTTGGCCATTGGTAGTATCTCAGCTAAATTGTGAAGAATGTGAATATTTAACAATGGATCAAGACGAAAATCCTCGGCGTGTTCTTCAGTTATACTTAATGCTTCCTTGTATAAGGACACAGCTTCAGAAAATTCTTGCTTAAGCATGGCAATAGCAGCAATCCCATTTAATGCAACAATTAACACTCTAAGAGCTTCTTCTCCCTCTTTCTGGGTCTTTTTCACAAGGACCTAAGAAAAACTTCAATTAGCACAATTAACTAACGGAGATCAAAACGCTAAATCTTGCAAACTCACCATTAGAATTTCTTCCATGGTCATTGGAGTTTGTTGCAATGAACGTAAACCTGAACTTCCTACTTGAGGGTGGCAGCAAGCTTGGCGCAATTTCAAGAGCGAGTTCAACAGTTTTGCAGCTTCGGCATGAGTGATTAAAGGATTATCAGAAGAAGTATGACCTGTAGATTATCACAAGTGGGATAAAAAATTTAGCAGCCAGCACAGAAGGAAGCGTCAAAGTTCCGAGAGTGAACTTTTTGTAAGGACAAATGTGGAAAGTGCAGAAGACACTATTTGCACCCCCATGGTACCTCTTTTGAGAATATCACGTTTCAAAGTTTCTATAACTTCACGAGCATAACTCACACAAGTTTCATGCTGTCTACTGTAGAAGTGTTCTTCAATTGCAGAAAATTTGAGCCATGAGACGCATTCCTCTTGAGGTGGAAGTTGCAACTCATCAGCCACATGGACTTTTGAAGAACGCCACATAACTTGTTTGAAAAACTTATGCGTGAATTCCATGGCCTTTGTGTCTCGCCTCTGTACAAATCAAGAAGGTTGTTAGACAATAAAACTATAAAGGTAAGAAAATGTTTTTTTTTTCTTCTCGACCTCATATGGGTCTCTTATAACTTCAATCCACCATCTTGAAACATCGAAAGGATTTGCTTTAAGAAACTTCAATAGTCCAAATAAGTCATCAAGTTTGCGTTGTATAGGAGTTCCAGTGATACACCAACGGTGTTTGGTGTATAATCTCAACGCCATCTCTGTTGCAGCAGCTGCATTGCTCTCCACCATCTGGGCCTCATCCAAACAAATCCTCCACCAAAATATTCTGGTGAGTGGAGTCGGAATAACAGGGTACCTATCACAATACAACATCTTTTCTCAATCTTTCCGAAAGCTATTCAATTGCATGAAACCAGGAGATAAAAAACAATCCTGTCAGATTAAATTTAGTGTTGTTCAGTATGGCTCGTCTGAGTACATGAGTTTGGAACTAATCCATATTGGCAAATTCTAAGAAATGTTTTAATAATTCATCTTCTTTAATATATCATGTATGACAAAAGTTCATCATGTAATGAAAAATGCGAGGTATAAGAATCCTAAATATCACTAGTCACACCTTTTCTGGAATCTAAGACAATGCCGGTCACCATCATGCCTGTCGAAGTCATGTGTCAAGTCCTCTTTAAGGACATCATATGTAGTTAAAACAATGTCAGCATTGAGGAGTTCAGTGATGTCAATCATAGGTTCTTCAGAAAGTGAGGCGTTCCTCACACCTTCATAGATACATGTTACGAGAGATCCCAAGCGTGTATGGCTACAACATGACAAATGAAAGAAGGAAAGAGGACTAACATTACATGATGCGGAGATAAACGAAAAATTACGTCTAGTGAAAGTCATCTTGTTAAGTGTTCCTCCAGTCAAAACATAACAGAAGGGAGAAAAAGGTAGAGAAGAATCTGATACCGTGTAATCTCGGAATGCCATTGCGGTAATATAGGAGCTGGACAGACAATAAGAGTGGCACCCGTAGAGATGGGAGAGGCAGTGACTTGTAGAAGTTCAGAGCACATTTGGCAAATATATTCACCTTCTCTGTCAATAATTTCCGTTGCATCCTTTTTGCTCTTCTTTTGAGATACTTTTTCATCAACATGTTGACTAGCTTTCTTACCTTTCCCTTTAGGTGAATAACCTACACAATCGGCATGCTGCCAAGCATCACAAAGGTCACACTGTACCCAAACTCCTTTGTATTTGCGACTTTCACTGACAGCTCCACATATGCACTCAACACGTTCTCTTTTCAATCTTCTCAAGCCAGCGTTCAAATCATCAGTAAATGATGAACCATTAGACACAGAAATTTCATCCTCCGCTGGTTTTCGATGAGAAAAGATGCAAGCAAGTAGTTCAACCGTTTTTCCCAATCCCATTTCATCTGCAGCATCCGTACTTTACCCCATTAAGAGTGGAATGCATGAAAAATATTAGAGGTAGACAAAGCCATATAGACCATCTAGCATTTAAGAAGACTTAAAACATATGTTTCGGAAAATATTCTTAGTGAAAGCAAGTCAAAACAAAATTATCTTTGTAAATAATTTTCTGATTATATAGTACATGGAGGCAAATTGAAGCCGCAAACTGTTCATACCAGCAAGGATACCGCCCTGAATTCGAGGTGAAAAATACTCTGGTGCCAATGAGATATTCCCACTAAAAACAACCAAAACATGACAAATGGACCAGATCAAATTAAGTTCTTCAGTAAATGGTCAAACTTTTTTACTGAGAAGAATTTACACTATTTGTTATACGTTGAGAGGAGGAGCTTATAGTTCAAAATAAAACAAAAAGGACTACTTAGATTATTTTCTACTAACCTGAATGGGTTAAAGAACATTTTTGTAGCAGAGTCAAGGAATCCCACGGAGATAGACAAAGGTGAAATGAATTGGTTGTCTTCCTTGTCTCCCACCGTTATTGGATCGCCTCTCTCTCGCTGAACCATCCAATAAGCTGCCCGTCGTTGGTACGGCCTAAGTTCTGGGAGCAAATCAGTTATATCATCTCCAAGCATCGTATTCGTCCTGAATCGACAATGTGCTAATAAGTTGGAAAGATAAATTCAGATATTAATGCACACAAAGACAAACAAAAAAAGTTGTTCACTCACTTTGATGGCTTTATGGCTTCATAAAAAGCAGCAGCATCAAACCCAGACTGCTTACTAGAGTCCAAAGTTTCAGCTTCCGACGCAACTGATGACTCAATATCCTTCACGTTGAATCTTGTCCCATACCTAGCCTCTGATGTCATTACCTCTGGCCTCAACCAGGACATGACATGAATCATACTCTTTTTCCAAATCTGCCTTGTATTCTCAAGAAGAGAATCACAAGAATCAAAAGCCTGCTGAAGCATCTCAACTCTAACTCTAGGAGACAACAAGCCCTGATTACCCGGCATCAGCCTTAAAGTCAAGAACTTTATACTTGCCAAATGAGCAAGACCCGAAACCCCTTCCCCTGGACCGTCAAAACTTGCAGACCAAATCACTGATCCAGCCTCATCATCAGACACTTTATTATCAACCAATTCCAAAGTTATATCACTGGAAGACAATACCGGCCAGTGACCAAGCTTAATCCGATCAACAAAATTGGTCACATTGCAAAGCCGAAACCGTAACGAGCAATCCAGATCATGATCAACCTCAATAGGTGTTGTGACTGTACTACTACTTCCTACACGTTCTCTTAAACTAAAATTCGTTAGAACAACTTCAGCTATATCAAAGTGCTGCTGCTGCTCAGAAATACGACTACTTGAACATATGTTCACATAGTACGGCTTATCGATATCTTCAACATTCTTTTCCCCCGAACCCTCAGCTTCGTCGCCAGGTAAATCCTTTCTATCGGATTCAGAACCAGTTTGAGTGATCAAACCCACTGAACGCTGTGGCTTGGATTGTTTTCTCCTACCCATCACTACAAAAAGCAAAAATAGAAACTTCATTACTGAGAATTCATAAATAAGATACAAAACCCAAAACACACACAAACAAGCTATGACCTTTATGCAATTTCATAGCTTAAAACCAAAAAACTTTATGCAACTTCAAAATAGTTCCTGAACCAGTGTTATATAATTCATACGAAAACAAACTCAGATTACGATATAAGAAACAAAATTCCGAACCTGTGAAGTGAAAGAGAATTCGATCAAATATTCAGGAATTTTCGAATCGACGGAGATGGTGAAGGAGTGGAATTCAAAGCGCCGGAGAAGATTCATAGACCGCCGCGTGATAATAACGAATTGCCGGTTTATCTGCCAATTCGTTTGCACCGACGTGGCTTGTGAATGACAATAATACCCTCAGCCTATAAATATAAATAACGAAATTACCCCCGTTGAACAAAACAACTCGATTTTAGTTTACTGTGTATTTTTGCGAAGCTTCTCTTCTCTATTGGAACTTAAGCGATTCCAGTAAAACGGCACACAACTGCAAAACCCTAATCTCAATTTCTGTGGATTTTGCTCTTTTGTGTTGTGAAAGTTTCGGATATTTGGAATTTGAGTAGAAGAGATGAACAGAGGAAGAAGGAATCTGAAACAAGCGGCGTCAGAGCAGGATTTCACGCTTGAGGAATGTCAGAGCATTGCCCAAGTCGTCTCTCTCAGAGGTTCCAATCAAATTGAGGTAAAGAGGAACGCTTTTTATACAGTCTCGCCAATTCGTTGCGTGTTTTCTTCGGTGCTTAGTTTGTATGTACGAACTAACTAAAGTTTGGATTTTTACGTCCCTTTCATGTTATTATAGCTTTATGACAACGAGAGTGTTCTGAGTAATTTGTTATTAACTGCTGTTGTTGTTTCTTTGAAGATAATGGATGCAAAAGGAGAGAACTCATTAGCTTTGTTTCCAGCTAAGTTTCGTGAGAGCATGTGGATCAGACGAGGTAATTTTCTTCTTCTTGTAAACACTGTTACTTGTTTCTTCTCTCAGACTTGTTTAAACAGAAGAACGAAATTTATGTTGTTGTTACTTTGATTTGCAGGAAGCTTTGTAGTGATTGACCATACAGGAAAGGAAAAGGCTCAAGAGTCTGGTAGTAAAGTTACATCTATTGTCTGTAAAGTTCTATTCTTTGAGCAAGTCCGTCTCCTTCAAAAGTCCCCGGAATGGTATAGCTTCTTTCTTTTCTTCTGTATGAATGGCTTCTAATTTTGAGTAATGTAGCTCATGTTAGTTTGGACATGGTGAACGCAGGCCGGAAATCTTCAAAGATACTAAACCGATTCCAGCTGATAAAAGCTCACCCATTGAACAGCATGAAGATGACGGTGAAATTGATTCGAGTGATGATGATGATGGCATGCCCCCATTGGAAGCAAACACAAACAGATTGAGACCGTTTGGTGTGCAATGTGATGCAGAAACAGATTCAGGGTCAGATTCCGATTCATAGAACATCCAGTATATTTCTTTTCGCAAACCTCAACTCATTTCTCAATAGAGAGGAATCTATAGTTGCGAGCTATGTCTTTTAGACAGAATGTAACCAACTCAGTGCTGCTGAAAAAGCAGAGTTTTGCTTTGCAATCAATCAATTATTCATCTATGACTTGCTTCTCATTCTCTCCTTGCAATTCTTGATAAGTCTTAATAAGGATTCAGAAGATAATATTGATTGATTGAGATTAACACTACAAGAATGCATCTAAGTTAATAACAAAAATCTCAGTGATACTAACATGATCTGCAAATAACTACTATCAACTGTTTATTTGTTTCTGACATGGAAACTAGAAAAACTGTTAAGACTGTCTGAGAAGGAGAGCTGCAACTGCTGCAGTTTTCTTCTGAAGCTCTGCAGCATCTCCACCTACAAGTTTATCCATTTGCCTCCCATCTTTAAGGAACACTACTGTTGGAGTTGCGTCCACGTTCCATTCATGACTAAACTCCTGTTTTAAACATATTTTAACCCCCAAATCCCTCAGTTTCGAGATCTCATCTTCACAAGAAATCATTCTAAGGAACAGAAGTTTTTTGGTTACTTACAGCGAGCTCTTCCACGTCTATAGTGACAAATATCATTGAGGTGTATGTGGATGCAAGCTCCTGGTATATTGGTGCTATTTTCTTACAAGGTAAACACCACGAAGCCTTGAAATTCACTACGAGCTGTTGTATGTTACAAAGAATCAGATCATGTCTAGCTATTTGCAGAGGAAGAATGCAAAACAACAAATAAAGGCAAATCATATGAGGAAGAGCTTACAATTTTGCCTTGCCTATTAGCTTCAGTGATCTTCTCCTCCCATTTCTCCATTCTACTAACGGGATGGACCTTCCCTTTTATAAAGCAGGACCCTTTCTGACTCCAAGCTTGAGTCTTGTTCCTTCCGCTGCAACAGCATATACATGAACACACCTGTTTAAGAACATTGAACGGTTTTAATAAAACTTTGCTAGTTAGATTCGACCATGATCTCCATGAAACGCGTCAATGAGAGGGTAAAAGTCTTACCTTTCTACAACAAGGAATTCTTGTACAATGATTCCCCATTAACTTTCTACACGACCAAATCCTGGGTTGGATCATTAGCTCTCTGAATCAACAGCACAAACAAAACCATTTTTCTCAATATTAACAATGCTAAACAGATAAGGAGAAATTTACAGATGAATTATAATGATCTCAAATAAAGAACCTAGCTATTTAGGGTTGATAAAAGAAGAAAAATGAGAAAAGATTACCTCTAGATCTTGCCAACTTCAGATTGTTCATGTTCTTGCATCATAATTAGTTTCAGCCTCAAAGCCTAGGAGCAAGAGATAAAGCCGAGATCAAAGATCAAAAGTTTCTGTGAAAAGATTCAAAAACATCAACAAGAAAGATCCAGAGAACGTTCAATTTAAGTAACAAAACATTTTTATTTGTCTTGGGTTCATCATACATGCGATGGGAAATTGGTTTGATGAACCATAACAAATGGCTAATTTTGTAGACCAGAAACTGGTTAAAGACGACATAGAAAATGGTGTGCATTTCTTAAAGCTTACACCAGTTATACTTGGAAGACAAAAGTTAGAAACAAAGAGATACATCTTGTATGAAGAATCAATAATCACAAATTCACAATAGCATCCTCTGATAAACATAGCCAGGGAAATTTATTTCTCGAAAGTTAGCAACAAAAAAAACTGGGTTTTGAAAAAGATTCATGGTGTTGTTTTTATATCCAGTTAAGAAGAAACGTCGTCAAGTTTTCTGGGGAAGAAAATCCGAGTTATGAGCCCTCTTTTTCGAGCTTCTCGATCTCTTCACGGTGCTTTCTTTCAGCTTCTTCAAGTTCTCTTTCAGCGTCTTCTTCCTCTTCGATTCTATCAAGATTATCAAACTCCTTAGTTGCTGCCATGGCTTTCACAACAGGATCTCTTAACACAGAGATTAAACCACCACCAACCCTGTACTCTTCTTCATCGCCAATCAGAAATAGCCGTTGGTCGGGACCAGACGCCATTGGAATATCTACCGCTAAAAGCTTCATGTCATACTGAAGAAACAGACATATGAACATGATAAGTTGACCAAAACTCACAATATAGGGGTTATCAGATGGTATGACAAAATGAAGTAACCTAAGAAACTAGACAGACAAATGTAATGCCGTGTAATGTCAGTATCCACATGTTAATATACAAGCCTTATGTTTAACTGAAACATATTGCGCTACCATCACAGTTTCTACACCGCATATTGACAAACTAATAAGAACAAAGCTATGAAACTGCAATTCATCTTTCCAATTCACCAAAATAGAGAGATCGATCAAAATAGAGAGATCGATTGATGAAAGACTCTCGTGTCACAACCAAATGCCCAATCAACCCCTTAAAATCTACATCCTCATAAACTCAGCCCTCGTGAACTGCACTCTAGCTAACTCACAACAACTCGAATCTACTACATTCAGTCCTAGGCTAGATAAAGTAGACCTATAGCTAAGAGCTGAACTGCTGAACTTCTTCAAAGGTTATCACAACCCTAAAGATTACAACATGAACATGCACAGAAGAAGGTTGGATAAACGAGGAGTGTGGAGTTGAGAAAGTGAAACCTGGCCTTTCTTCTTCTTAACTTCAACGCTAACAAGGCCCTTTCTCTCAGAACCCTGAACAGGGAATAGAAGAAAGCAGCGCTTGCTCCTAATTGTTGGCTTGAATTTTTTAAATGTTATGCCACCGCCTGACATCACATAAGCTCGTAAATCTGATCCTGACAGAGGAGCACCCATAACTTCTAGGATTTCAGCTGCAGTATTGATCTTCCTCATGGTCATTCTATAAACTTTATCGGGATTAATTGTGAACCTTGAGCGGAGGTATAGTCCCTATAATTCGAAAAAAATGCAGCTAGCTGTGAAGGAGTGATTTCTATATGATATAGGACAAGGATAATGTAACAGCAAAAAAACCATATCATATAAGCAGTTTTTTCATTCTATACACAATGTACCTATACTCTAGTCTAGTCGTGGTAAAAACAAACCAATATCATCGCAAGCTCCTGTCTACATCGATTCACTATCTACAGAGAAATTCCTAAATTTCATTTTATTCAGAACAACTACAAGGCACTTAGTTAGGCAAACATTGTGATTCTATCAATGAAACTGCACTAAGAAATCGAGCAACCATCAAGATTAAGCACAAATTATGAGAGATAAGAAAAGAAACAGCGGAACTTACAGAAAATGCTACGATGGCTGAGGAAAGTGCAAGAAACCCATACTTGGCCATGCCCTCTGAGAGGCCAACAAATGTACTAGCAATTCCAAACATAATCCTCCACAGGAAAATACATACAAAAACACCTCCAGCTCCAAACACAACAAGACTATTCTTTTTCCAAAATGCATCAACGTGCAACCCAATAGCCTCACGGTATCTAGCAAAAGTAGAACTAACAGCTTTGACAGGCTTATCAACAACCTTCCTCGCAAAATTCCCATCAATCTTTCGAAATCCAGAGCTCTTATTGGAGACCAATCTAAACGACGATGCAAAACTCACATTCACACGAGGCAAACCCAAAGCTTGCTGCAACTTAGGATTGAGCTTAGGAGAGGACAGAATCTGAGATAACCCCACGTTTGTGGAAGTGGGTTTCGAAGATAAGCTGTGAAAGCTAAACTTAGGCTGAAGCTGAGAAACACCATTGGAGGGAATAGCTGGAGAAGACAAAGCTGATGGGTTTGATCGACCAATGGTGACAGGGTTGACCCGAGTGTAATGCAGCCGAATAAACCCTTGAATTGCTTTAAAATCCGATGGTCTCACCATCTTATATAGCCTTTTAGATCGATCGCACAAAAGCTCGAAGCAAAGATCCTAACTTGGAGTGTCTCGCCTGATTCAAAATTACCTCGACTCGAAAACTGATCAATCAATGGTATTGCGAGTTTTCAAAATGGGGTCGATGAGTCAAAAGATTCGAATCAATCCATTGGAGAACGTCATCATCTTCCCATTTCCGCCGAAGCTCTGTTCGTAGCAGCGATTGGGGATCAATGGTGATCAGTCGAAATGAAGAAAGATCGGGTCGGTCGGGTTGACTGGTCCGGTTCGGTTCGGGTCGGTTTTAGTTGGATACCGAATTATTTATCGGGTCCGTCTTACTTTCTTGAAGGAAGGAACAAAGCACACAACACAAAGGACCCACAAGTGTCTCAGTTCGAAACTCCATGCCCACTCACTATTCTGGTCGGTTCGCAGATGACAGGGGTAAAATTGTCATTATAATTCTATCTCTATACTTTTTTTTTTTTTTTTACATTTAGAAAAAAATCTGATAAAAGAATATTATTGAATTGATTAAGACACTAGTTAAAATAATATGTCATGTGATTGAGATGTATATTATCAAAGGTAGCCTAAAGTTTTTTCTACCAATTCAATAAAATTGGAATTTGGAACAATATAGAGAATACTGTATTAGCAATTTAACATGGTCAAGCTAAAAAAAACACACGCATAAATAGAGAAATATACCAAAAGTATCAAACCATAGAGGCATAGACCAAATCTTATATTATTATATTGAAACTTAAAAAAGAAGAAAAATCTTACATTGTTTTTTATGGCTTAACTTGTGAATAGCTTGATGATAGGATTCACTATAAAAAGAATAACTGATATGGTGTGTATTCGAACATTAGTAAAGGATCTTCAAATCTAAAAGAAATTAACAACTATTGATGACACAACTTGCATTTACACATGATATAATATTTTTTAAAACAAGTTTAGAAGTCAAACTAAATGACTCCATGTACTTTTGAAATCTTTAGTAATTAGTACTTGCGATGTTCATATTATCTTTCGCTTCGCTT